TAGCAACACGGGCATCGCTACTAGGAACAAGAAGCTACTAGCAACACAGGCATCGCTACTAGGAACAAGAAGCTACTAGTAATTCTCATTAAAGAAACGGTTTTCACTCGACTCTCAACTCATGTTCCTCACTTCGAGGAAGCCCAGCTCACCGTGCCCAGAGTGCCCCAATATATATATATATATATGTATATATCTATATATACACATTGCAGCCTTGCTTGTTATTTTTCATCAACCGGTTTGTTGCTAAAACGAACAATAAAGAATTTTTCAGTTTTGAAAACGATGCTATGCAAAGAACAAAACCGAGGACAAAGGTGCCCGGGCCTGTGCCTGCCTCACAGACTCCTGCGTGATTTCTTCGGCACCCCGAAGAAAGGTCTCCTGCCATGCCGCAGGCAGCGATGCAGGCAGTGCACATTGAGATGTCTTGCAGCTATTGCGAGAGCGCATCTATGTCCAGCTAGAATTCAACATGTCTAGACTGAGAGAGAACTACATGTACTCTACTACACACAGCAAGAACTATCGATTGCAGCTCTCTCAGGCAAGTTCCTGGTTCAGGATTTGCGATGAATTTGTTCTATGAACAGCACTTTCGACACAACAGTGCTTTATCTGGTTGGAGGAAATCACTCTTGGGTTGGAGCCATTGCTAGCACGGTGGAGGCCATCCCTAGTGGGTTGGAGGCAATCGCTAGTAGGTTGGAGGCCATTGCTATTATATAGGTTGGAGGCCGTCGCTAGTAGGTCGGAGGCCATCGCTATTAGAATGGAGGTCATCGCCAGAAGGTTGGAGGCCATCGCTAATAGGTTGGAGGCCATCCCTATTAGGTGGCTATCGCCATTAGGTTGGAGGCCATAGCTAGTAGGTTGGAGACCATCGCTATTAGGTTGGAGGCTATCGCTACTAGTAATTAGGTTTGAGGCCATCATAGGCCATCGCTAGTAGGTTGGAGGTCATCCCTTCTAGGGAGGCCAATGCTGTTGGGTTGGAGGCCATCGCTAGTAGGTTGGAGGCCATCACTAGTAGGGTGGGGGCCATTGCTATTAGGGTGGAGGCCATCTCTCTCTCTCTCTCTCTCTCTTTGTTGAAGTTCATCATAATTCGTCAAGGTCAAAAGCTTTGATTGTCGGTGCTGCAGAAGGTTCAAGCAGGCCAGGAAGTCCCGGCGGGAAGCCTGGGAAGTCATGAAGCAGGTGAACCAATCGGTGAAGGGCACTTGAAGCCTTAATGAGCAGCCTATGTAAGGGTCTATCACACGGTTTAGTTCCCTTTTTCCTTTGTTTTACTCTGTTTTTTCCGCTCAAAAGATGATCGCTCTTCTTCGGCTCCAAGCCTTCGCAGGATTTGGCTTGGCGAGCACCGTGGACAACCTCTAGAATGCTTTCGGGCATAGACCGTTCTTCGGCCACCGTTCTTCTTAGTAGTAACAAGAAGCTACTAGGAACAAGTGCCACGCTACTAGTAACAAGTGCCTTACTAGTAGTAACAAGAAGCTATTAGAATTAAATTAGAATTAGTAAGAATGCTCCGTTCGTAGCGATGCCAGGAGCCCCTAGTATCGCCCTTGCTCCTAGTAGTAAGGCCAGGAGCCCCTAGTAGCGTCCGATCGCTCCTAGCATTTAAGGTCTTGACCGTTCTTCGGCAGTAGCCAAGAGGGCCTCTTCCTTCGAACGTTCTCGACATACACGAAAATTGAAAGACGGCTTAATCTCACAAGCTGCTGGAAACCAAGCCTTCACGAGCGCAAAGCGAAGCTCCTGGAAGGGCTGACAAAAAATGTGCTCTTGGAACTATTCTTGATACCTACCAAGTCTCTTTATCCCAAAGTTCTGACAAGACTACGGCATAGCGGCATAACTGTAACAAGGTCGGGATCTTACATACGCATCAGAGTCAGGTGGACAGCTTATGTCAAATGAATTTGGCGATCTCCTCAGCTGGCTGGAGGTCCTAGACACGCAAGAATGAGGATAAGAAAAAGAGAAGAAAACTTTGTGGCGAAAGAAAGAATAGCTTTTGTACCAAAAGAATAGAAAAGAAGAACAGGAAAGCCGCTAATTTCAGGATCGGCTCTAGCGATTTAGAGCTAGCCTTCACGCGTTAGAGCTGTTTAGCCCTATCTTGTGCCAAGTCACCAGGTTCGCCTCCATGTCAGCGCACCTCCAAAGCTCGACTCAAACTAGGGATGGCCTCCAACCTAGTAGCTTCTTGTTCCTAGTAGCGATGCCAGGAGCCCCTAGTAGCGATGCCCTTGCTCCTAGTAGCCTCTTTTTTCTGCAGGTGAAACGATTCCCAGGAAACTTTGGTCGTTAGAAAGCTTTGCCAAGAAGCTTCAAAGACCTAAAAAGCATCATTCTTACTGCAGGTGAAAGGATTCCCAGTTTTATCTTCTTAGTTGTTTGCATTATTTTTTTGTTCTCTTGATGTTTGGAGGGGTTGGGGCAGGCTGTGAAGAGGTGAATAGCATACAGGAGGTAGTAGCTTAAGTGACCAGTAAGCCCAGATATATAGCTACCGGATGATCGTAACTCTTCGAAACTCTTTGGCGAAACTCTTAACTTTTGGACCTTTGGACAGTCCTCTACTAGGAGCAAGGACACTACTGGCATCGCTACTACGGGCTCCTGGCATCGCTACTAGGAGCATTCTTATCCCAGGAAGCGACGCTTTAAGCTGCTTTAAGCCACTTCGTTTCAAAGGCGACGAAGTTCTCGGGGCTAGCCAAGGCACAAGGCTTGTAGCTTCCGGGCGACCTGCCGGTTGCCCAAGGCTGAAATAGACCAATCAAAACTCGTCCTCTCTTTTCTATCTTTTTCAGAAATACATTTCAAAACCAGTTCTGAACAATCAAATGATCATCTCACCCAAAGACTAAATCAGCCATGACGAGGTAAGTACATTAGGAGGCTTGACATGCCGATATGCCTCCGTCTCCTCCTCCAGCTCCTGGTGGTATGCATCCATTTGCTTCCTCTACCTCAAATGCGGATGCACCCAGAGTTGAGATTCGCAGTCAAAGTATTATGTTGATGTTTTTCTTCCCTGTGTTCTTAATATTTTGAGCCCGCCCTTACATAAATACATACAGTAAGTAGGCACGATAGCTCACGCTTCTTCAAGGCCGCCCTCAGGGGGGAGCTTCTTTGAAGAAGCGCTCGCACTCATGATTTGGTTCCTAGTAGCGTCCTTGCTCCTAGTAGTAAGGCCAGGAGCCCCTATTAGTAGCGTCTTTGCTCCTAGCAGCGATGCCAGGAGCCCCTAGTAGCTTCTAGCCCCTAATGATTTGGTTCGTCCGTAGATTTTTAGGGAAACTTGAGTTTACGTCGACTTTGTTGACTTTGTTGAGCTGCTCATTGAGCTCTCTAATCTAGCTTCAATGCAGTGCTCGGGCAGCGGCCTCCAATTCTTGCAAGGCCAAACTGATCTGCCCAGGTTCAGGTTCAGCACATGCATTGATTTGACTTGCTATGAGCTGTCAAATGCAAGGTAAACCTTCTGGGCTCTGTCGGCACGCTCCACGTCCTGCTTGGACACCTCGAAACAAAATGTAAGGACCAAAGAAGATCTACCATCTACCCTACACATTTACAGATCTTACAAGTAAATCAAACCTACCCTTTACAGATCCCACCGCAGGTCTTTGACGTCACTACTTGATCATTCCTACAGGCTGAACCGGAAATCACGTCTACACCGAAAAAGAAGTGCTCCGACGCTACGAACGGGGCTCCTGGCCGTACTAGGAGCAAAGGGCATCGCTACTAGGAGCAAAGGGCGCTACTAGGGGCTCCTGGCCTTACTACTAGGAACAAGAAGCTACTAGGAGCAAAGGGCATCGCTTGTACGAACAAGAAGGTGCGAACTGGGCTCCTGGCATCGCTACGAACGGAACAAGAGGACGCTACTCGAATGCTACTCTTTGTTGACCCTGCCAGGCCTAGCTCTGAGCCTTCGTTAATTAGCAAACATTAATTCTGATTCGTATTTGATTCAAAATTCGTACTTTTTTCTAATAATATTCATGTAATTATAAATGTTATTTAATTCTAATTCTGATTTTGTTTTTTTAGCAAACATTGTTACTAGTATGGCCAGGAGCCCCGTTCGTAGCGTCTGATCACTTCTAGCAGCGATGCCAGGAGCCCCTAGTAGCGATGCCCTTTGCTCCTAGTAGCGTCCTCTTGTTCCTAGTACTGAGCCTTCCTCTCGTTGTGTCTAGAAACAGATTTGCAGCTTGCAGCTGCCGCTTTGCCTCATTGGCAAACACAGCTCTCTGCAGCTGCAGCGCATGCGTCGCCTACAAGATGCAGGATTTCGCATGATGCCTCATATATCGTCTGTGACACAACCTGCACACTGTGCTCTGCTGTGCTGTTGGAGTTGACTACTGCTAGAGCCCTCCCTCACGACCGAAAGCTTAACAACCCCCCCGCCCAGAACTCGTTGAGCTTCGCTCTGCTTTGCTTCATTTCAGTCCGGAGTTTCACATGCGCCATTGCGCTTCTCCCGAAGGAAAGTACAAAGTCTTGAGAGTATGTGGCAGAGAGGAAATGTTTGTAACCTGAAACAAGAAGCTACTAGGAACAAAGGGCATCGCTACTAGAAGCAAGGACACTATTAGGGGCTCCTGGCAGTTCTACTAGGAACAATAAACCTTCTATTTATTTTTTTTCGATTGTCGCTTCGATTGTCGCCTCCGCAAGTTCAGAGTCAAGCTGCTGGAGCTCCAAGCGCAGCGCCTGCGGTTCAAAGCGATCGCAGAGTCGATTATTGTGTTTTTCCACTTCTTCCTTGTTCTTCTATGTCTTCTACACCTCTTCACTTGTTGAAACAAAACGAGAAAAGCACGCGCCCGGACTTTTCCTGGACTCGGGCCACTGCAGTTCGGTATGGACATGTTAGTCCTGCAAACTTCTTACACTCCACCTTAAAGGAGCGGTGAAGTGAGTCCGCTGCTTTACCGACCGTGTTGCAGGTAGAGCTGGGCATAGTGCTCGAAGTTGTCATCCCAGTCTCCCATAATCACGATCTTGCAGAACAGGCCATAATCGTGCTTCTCATCCATGGACCACTGGACGATGTGGTCGAAGCACATGTGCGTGTAGGTCCGGCTGTAGATCGAAGCCAGACGAATGCGAATGAACTCCTTCAGCTGGTTCGTGCTGAAAAATCCAGCTTCAAACACGCGTTGAGCCCTGGGTTCTTCTTCTCGCTTCATGTACTTGAACAGGGTCTCGAAGTCCCACCAATCGCCATCAACCGGCGGTGGTTCAAAGGCCGACCTGTTGTTTGGATCCTCAGCTGCCTCATTGTAGTTCTCCACCGGCTGAGGTTCATCCACGTCCATGTGGCTAGGTGGCGCAGCATCATTCACGAAGCTTGGGTCATCTCGCTCAGAGGCTGTTGGTTTGTAGTATCGATGATACCCACTGACCGGGTTGCCCATGAAGTATTCTTCACCGCTGAAAGCCTCCTCTTCAGCTTGTAGTACCCTGTAGTCTGCTAGGGTGCCGGTCATTGGATCCCAGTCCGTGATGATGTGTCCAGCTGTTCGCTGTTGGAGTTCTGTCTCTCCACCTCCATCTGACATCTCCTCATCGGGCTCGCTCTCATCTGCATCCTCTGCTACTGGACTTGGTTCTTCAGGTTGACTCCTCTCAACGGATGCTGTCATCTCCTCTTCTGGCCTTTCATTCTCTGGAACTTCACCTTCTTGGCGTTGCAAAGGTGCCGGCAAGTTACGTCCTCTCCTTACCAAGTTCCACTCTCCTCGATTGGCCGCCAGCCTGGCTTTCATGATCATCCCAATCTCAGCAAACTCATCCTGCTGCCTCTGGAACTCCATGGTCTCCTCCTGCCTCAAAAATCGAAGGAGGGTCCTCAGATATACCGACCACTTCACCCGGTATCGGTAGCCACAGTAGACACCGTAGAGGAACACGAAGACCGTGTAGATGGTCAGCATCTTGATGATGAACCACCAGCTGTAGGGCTCTTCTGGTGTCTTTCCATCTGTGATCTCCTCAACTCGTTCTCCTCCAACCTTCTGCTGCAATAAGAGCAAGGTGACTGCCCTCACCAAAGCTGTCGGGATCTTCAGTCCCCAACTACTCTTCTCCTCCACCACTGTCTGGATCATCTGCTTCTTGACCTCCTTCATCTGCTTCGCTAGCATCTTCTTCTCCAGCTCCTGGTGGAAGGTGTCTTCACCCACTGTGGAAAAGGTCTCATCCTTGCCTTCAGCATTCATCTCCATGATCCCAATGAGGTACATCAGGAACTCCCGACGTTGCCTCGTGAGGCGTTTGGTGCCAATGTCTGACACGTTGAGGAGAGTTGGAATTCCTTCCATGACCATCGTGTCCTTCTTGATCTCCAGCTGCATCCAGAGATACTTGATGTCAATGTGCTTGAGGCGTCCAACACCAAGCCGCTCAGCAAAGGCACGGCGTGAGCTGCTGTCTGTAATGGTCCTGATCTTCACGGGCCTGCGGCTGAGGAAGTGCCACAAATCCTTCACTTGGAGCGCCTCTGCAACACCTCCGGCTGAGGCTAAGAACTCAGCCTCGCATGAACTGAGGGCTATTGACTTTTGAGATCTCGACCAACTGGTCACCAAGCAGCCATTGAGGAAAAGGAAAACCGAGCTGACGCTATGTCGCCTTCTGTTAGCGCTGCTCTTGTCTCCAGCCCAGTCAGAGTCAGAAAACACTTCCAACCAATCCTCTGTTCCTTCATCCTCCACCTGGCCCAAGATCTCCGCTTTCTTGCTGCGGTAGTTGCAATGAGGTAGCAACAGACCATAGCCTTCTGTCCTCTTGAGGTACAAAATAACATGTTTGGCCTCTGTCTCAGCTCGTTGAGTCGGCTTGGCCATGAACTGGCTGAGGTTTCGGACCGCATGTTGGATGTCGATGCGGTCCTGGCTGATGTAGAGCAAGGTACCTAGGGCTCATCTGAACCTGAACTGGTCAGCACCTTCAAGGATCTCATCTGGTGCTCCTTCCAAATTGTCTTGGCCACTTTCTGGAGTTGCTTTGCCTGACCGCTTGTCCAGCTGATATAGCTGCAAGAGGTTTGGGATGTACTTCTCATGTGGCATAATCACCACTCCAGCACTTGTGAAAAAGTGGCGCTTCTTGAGGCATCGGACTGCCTCATCTTCTGCTTGGTGATCAGTTGGCAAAATGCCAGACTCACTGATCACAAACTTCTTCTTCATCACCTCAGACAGCCATTCTAGGTGCTCCACCTTTCCAGCAATGATGAGGTCGTCCACGTGGCAAACTGCTGCAAGTTCTCGCCTCTCATGCCTAAACAATGAAGGCAGGCTCATGTGGTTCTGGAAACCCCACTCAATCAAATGAGTCGTCAAAAACTCGAACCACTTTGCTGCAGCGTCACGTTGTCCTGGAAGGCACTTTGAAAGCTTCCAGTACCTCTTCTCTCCAGGCCTTAGGTCTTGGGCTTCTTCTGGCTTCCACCACGGAGGTTGCTCCACCAGCACCAATCTGGCTGACCAAAAGAAAATGTCAGCAAACATGACCTTCCATCCCAACAGGACATGGGTCGAAAGAAGCAATCTCGTTGCACTCAATGAAGATGTGGGCGCAAAGGTCTTTGAGCTCGAAGCATCTCCACCTCTGAACTCTCTGGCCACGAAGCGACACCTCCTTTTCCAGCGCTTCTCACGGACACGCCAGTCGTATACTGACCGGGTGGTCAGGACGCTTCCCTGCTCCAACTCTTCTTCCGTGGGCTCCTCCAACACCTTCATCTTCAGCAGGCGTTCGATCTCCTCCTGACCTGCTGCCTCTTCAACACATCCTCGGTCTCCATGTAGGATTCAACTTCTTCTTCTTCCCATGCTTCATCATTCACGCGGTACACATCGTTCACATAGATCCTGCTGATGCTTCCGGCATACTGAGGAGGGCACAAGCCTACAGAGGGACTGCTGTCTG